CTCAGTGCGAAGCCTGATCTCTTGAAATAAAACAAGGTACAAAGGGCAAGTGTTTTACAACATGGCTACATGGGATCTTTAGGGATGGGCGAGCAATCTCGGGCATTACATAACGAGATAAAGAGAAATTTACTGATAAGTCATACGATATATTAGCGACAGCCCTAGCTTAGTATGAGGGAGAAAACAGGAATGCTTCGAGAATTTTGGTCTGAAAACCTTTACTTGGAAGATGGAGACTCATTGATAACATTAAGATTAATCGTGTTTGAACTGTAGGCGGGTGGAACCAGTTCAAGTAAACTTTCCAGAACGCTATTTACATTCACATGCGGTCCACTCCTATGAGTGTAACGTGTTTGTGTACAAAAATAATTATCAGAAAAACGTTGCCAAGAAAACGTCTGTGGCTCTGGGTGATTGTCTTCTCAATTTTTCGAATCACTACAAATAAACTGCGTATAGTGCATCTCAACATCGGAATCCTAAGTTTTAATTCACAAGAATAAGCACTACTTTCACATCTTCTAGAATTCTCAAAGGATGGCCGTGGATAACACAAGCACGTTTCTACACACCAACCAACTTGGTAGATACTCGGCCTCGGATTAGGATTACAAATATTTCATGAACGATTTGCGGAAGAAATAAAAGATGGCACTGAAAAATATGCCCTGCTGAACACATGGACATGATTAGTTAAGCTAATTGCCAAAAGATGGATGAGGAGATATAACAGGTAAGTCATATGGACACCACTTCAAGGGGTCTGTGCCTTTCTCAACGTTAAGTTCTCTACTCGTACTTCCCGGCTCGAGAGATGTTGAATCGCTTGGGGTTGCTACTATGGTGTTAGTATTTTTTTTTCCCCTTGGCACTACAGCCCCAGTGGGCCTAGGCCTACCTCCATGAACTTCTCCGTTCACTTCGGTTTTTCTAGATCTTAGATATTCGGTAGGACTCCTTGGGCGGGTGATCAGCTCGTCGCAAGGCCTCTACCTGTACACAAACACAGAAAAACGCACACAAACATCCATGCCCTGAGTGGGATTCGAACCCACGATCCCGGCTTCCGAGCGAGCGAAGACAGTGCACGCCTTAGACCGCTCGGCTACCGTGACCGGCGGTGTTAGTATTTACAGAATTATATAGTTGTATTTGAGATTATCCAATACGCGGAGTCGGGATAGCTCAGTCAGTGTAGCGACGGCATACAGGCTGGACGGCCCGGGTTCGATTCCCGGCATGGCAAGATTTTTCTCTTCTCCACAGCGTCCAGACTGGCTCTGGGGCCCATCCAGCCTCCTATCCGATGGGCATCGTTGGGTGATTTCCCGGGGGTACAGATGACCACTCACTTCCATCTAGCGCCGAGAGCGAGAATGATGGAGGTATACCTCCACTCCCCAATGGCTTCATTGGCATAGTGCTTAATTAATTAAGCTGAGGGGCAACTTTATCTTTGTCCGCCTTTATCCACTTTGTTTCGCCTCTTTCAGAGAATTTTTAACAGTCCTTTGAATAAATAATTTGATTATACTGCGGTTCGTGCAGTGAGGCGTTACTGCAAACAGACAAACGGATGGAAATGACTCAGTCAAAATCATAAACACATTTAGTGCAAGAAGAAAGAAATGCGAGGCTTGACTGTTCATGTGCTTCATCAATAGCGTGTGTGAAAGTCAATCATCGAGCACAAAGTTTCATACTGGAATCCCAGCTGGTGGCCAGCTACCCAGGCTAAGGGCCTGGACATCATACGTTGTGTCATCAGATGAAGTGACCCTGGAAAAGGGCCCTTCTTTGCCGTCCCTGCCTTGGACCTTACAGTCGGTCTGAATGTTGTAACACTGCAAAGCAGTAGTTCAATTAAGAAATAAGTCCTACTAAAACTGCATGCTGCAGATCACATTAAGTCTCCAGTGCCATGTAGGTTCAATAAAAATCAGCAGAGAATTTATTAGACACCAGAAAGATAAGCGTTGCATTAATTTCTCTGCCTTCGAGTGATGAAGTGTTATTCATCTGCTGGCACTGGTTGCGGGACCGCTCGTATATTTGTGAGGGGAAACTGGTGATATATAGAATAGCTCAGTGCTGGGAATTCCAACTATGATTGTCTTGCGGCTACAAATTATGATAAATCTGAGTCCATTTCTGTTCAATTTGAAGTTGCGCTCTCATAGTTCTTTCTCACTTCCTTAAGTTAAATATACTTTTTTTTTCCAAATTGTAATTTATTGCGAGTGTCTTGCTTCACTGGAGCCGTGGCCCCTAACGAAAAGCGCATGAGAAACAGCTTATTAACAAATCTTCTGAAGAAAGCAGTCTTCTGGGATGTGGCACCGTGTAGATGTGGTGTTAACCGACGTTTCAGAGGAACGCATCGCCTCAAAACAGTCTGCTTGTACCGGTTCTCACGGTCTCTTCGTTTGTGGATTTCTTATTTTTCCTTCTACCCTGAAGATGGAGGCGATACGTTCCTCCGAAACGTCGGTTAACACCACATTTACACGGTGCTACATCCCAGAAGACTGCTGTCTGCTTGTACCGGTTCTCACGGTCTCTTCGTTTGTGGATTTCTTATTTTTCCTTCTACCCTGAAGATGGAGGCGATACGTTCCTCCGAAACGTCGGTTAAAACCACATCTACACGGTGCCACATCCCACAAGACTGCTTTCTTCATAGTCACCGCCGTGAAAACCTCAAATCTTACAAATCTTTTGAAGTTTTCTCTACTGTGAACAGTACTGTCTTCGGGGATGCAGCATCGTAAGGACCCAACACACTGCATAGCGTCATATTCAAGAAGACAATACCCTTCATTACCACCGTCTTCAGAACGTCAAATTCTAGAAGTTCAGGTTCCTCCCCTCTTCCTGTCGTCCCAAATTGACCTGCCGTACAAGATTACACAGTCTAGTCCGTCAGCAATATATTGTCACGTGACTGATAATTGTGGATTCTAGATTTGGTGATTAGGTTTATCTGACGTCACTGTTACAATCACACTCGGTTATAACAGTTCACACGTGTAACTCCTTCTGGATACCGAATCCCTCTCTGTTCTCGAAAGCACGCCGATTCACTGCCGAGTCACTTCTTCTTCTTCCGCGTTCTGTCGTATTCTGGTTCTTCTGAATTCACTTCTGAACTGACGGCTTCTCAACTGGCCTCCTTATATTCCTGCTAGGCGGCGGGGAAAGGAATCACCTCCTCGAAGAGTTCTGCTTTCCATATCCGTGGTAACAGTCTGTTTAAAAGTCGTTACCATGGATACAAGAATGTCTTCCACAGTTCCATCAAAACTCAGAGCAATGGTGCGTTTCGTGTTAACATGGGAACGTGCCCAGTAGGTGGGCAGGATGCAACTTTCAGGCGCACGTCACGATATATTGCATTTAGTTACCCATATACATACACACGAACAAAGTTTATAAAATTTAATAAACCAACATAATTTTTGTCATTCGTTTTGACATAGTCATGTAGATACCTGACGTTTACTTTTTATTAAATTCATATCCTCACATATCTCAGTAGAATTTAAAGACAAAATCGATTTATTTCAGTGTCGAGGCTCTAAATTAAGTTCAAACCACTCTGTAAAAAGGCTCAGAGGTTTTTCCACAGAAATCCGAACAGCTTAGACAATCCAGGCAGCACTGAGAGAACCGAAACACTGAAGCATGCCAAGTTCTTCTGACTTATCGGAAGGCAAAGGGGAAGATGTGTTCAACATAGCACAAGTCATATAATAGGTTTCAATTAAATCAGCTACTGTGTATTCGTATTAAAGTCTGCCGCAAAAGGGCTCACGACTCCAACAGCAGTAATGTTATCATAACAAGGTAACCAAATTAGGAAGCACCGACTCGTGCACAGTACATGAAGATTTAAAATAAAACGACAGTAAAAGTAACTCGTCATGTGGACATTTGGGACAACAACCGCGAGAAAAGCAACTATTTACTGGGCTATTAGAAACAAAATCCTGTGATCCTTCGGTACTACTCAGTTCATTAGGTCCTAGAAATGCGTCGCTGAAGAAGCGCAAGGAAATGAATATGGTAGATCGTTTATGCGAACAGAGACGTTAACTTGATTCGAAAGCTCGCAGTTAAGATAAAATCGCTTCATCGGGATGGAGTGTTTTCGTCGTTTCCGTTTATATGAATGATGTTCTCATGTGGGCCACAATTAACATGGGGCCCAAAACAACAGGTTCAGAATAAGAGAAATCATAACTCGCAATAAATCAATCAATTAGACATAAGAACTATCTTAACACAAAATTATATCCGCCCCAAAATCCCTGTATTGTCAACAATGACAAACAAAAAATGACACTGTGTAGTACGGTAGTTTAAAGAAGTTTCAGGAAAAACATACTTTCTCCATATTCGGGCTCGTAAAAGCAGTTTCCTCTCTATTCCCTGCTTCTTTGAAAGGCTCAGTCTCTTACCCTGATGATGGAGGCAGTACATTCCTCTAAAACGTTGTAAAAGTTCTGTAAGGTTACACGGCGTCACCTCCCAGAAGTCAGTACTCTGCATAGTCCCCGCCGTGGGAACCTCAAACCTCACATTACACGTCCTCATGTCTGCGCCTTACAGCAACACATCCCCTTAAAAATCAGGATCAAGTCATGTTTAACTGCATTTTCTTATCCGTTTTTCGTTTATTTTCTTTGCATCTTATTCTGTCTTTCATTTTCCCGCTACTTCAATCTGTTACTCTCCATTACTTCTTTTAGAATCCCTCCTCTTCCTCCTCACCTTTCTATTTCTTTTATCGTCATTCTCAGTCTCCTAAAGCCCACTGGTGTTCTCGTTTTCTTTATCGTCACTTTTTCTCCTTCAATTCCTCTTACTGCTCATCTTTTTCATTATTCTTTCGTATTACTAATTTTAATAGTTTTCTACTTCTACTTCTACTACTACTACTACTACTACTACTACTACTACTACTACTGCTGCTGCTGCTGCTGCTGTTCATCTTACCTTCTTCATCCGTCTTCTCTTCTTGTCTCTTCGTCGTATTCCGCATCGTCCTTAATTTTACTTTCCTCGAATTCTCTCTCCTTCTTCCTTCATTCTTGTTCTTCTCTATTTCACGATGCTCTTTCAACTCCGGCCCATCCTCCTCCACCTCCTTGCTCAACGTCATGATCTGCACACTGGTCTGAAAGGGCAGCATGGCTGAGTGATGCAGAACCGTAGCGCTTGCGAGCAGGCAGCGAAATGTGGCGATTAGTGACCAAGCTCTGGTTCAAAATCCGATTACTGTAACAGATGAAAGATACTGTATGCAGTGACTGAGAATTACTCCAAAATTTGTTTTAAAGTCCGTCGTAATCCGTGCAATTGCATTATACAAGTTCGCAATTTGACTCTTTAGAACCTAATGGCGAGAGATGAAGGCGTGAGAACCAGACCTCTTCATAAACATCAACAACATTGGAAGAAGAGGTAGCTGCTGGTGTTCTTCTGGTTTTCGAAAAGTGATATTGTATCTCGCCACATTTGGAAACATTAATATCTTAAAAACATTTTTGCAATGTGTTTGAAGAAGACGCAGACATGTAAAAATCAGCAATGAGAATATATGTTTACGTTATTTTAAAATTGGTAGCCACTGGAAGAAACTAGAATCTTATTCCTCATACTTACTTACTCATGGAGCTGAACCATTCTGGAGGAGCCGCCAATTCTGCAGCCACTCAAGAATTTGCCAGCATTTTATGGAACCCGAAGGTTCATTACCGTGTTCACAAGAGCCCTCCACTGGTCCCTATCCTGAGCCAGATCTATCCAATCCATACCATCCCATCCTATCTCTCTAAGATCCACTTTAATATTGTCCACCCACCTACGCCTTGGTCTTCCCTGTGGTCTCTTTCCCTCTGGCTGTCCCACCAATATCCTATACGCATTCCTCGTCTCCCCCATTCGTGCTACATGACCTGCCCACCTCGTCCACCTTGACTTGATCATTCTAATTATACTTGGAGAATAGTACAAGTTATGAAGCTCCTCATTATGCAGTTTTCTCCAACCTCCTGTCACTTCATCTCTCTTCGGTCCAAATATTCTCCTCAACACTCTGTTCTCAAACACCCTCAGTCTATGTTCCTCCCGTAATGTCAGAGACCAAGTTTCACACCAATACAGAACCACAGGCAAAATTATAATTTTGTATATTCTAATTTTTATGTTTTTTGACAACAGACGAGAAGACAAAAGGTTCTGGACTAAATGGTAGCAAGCATTACCCGAGTTCAATCGCCTCTTAATTTCCTCCTGAATCAGGTTTCGATCTGTTATCGTTGTTTCCAAATATCTGAATTGTGCCACATTTTCAAAACATCTGTTTCCTATCTTTATGGCATGATTTTGCCCTACATTTTGGTGACGAGACAGTAACATATACTTAGTTTTCTCTGTGTTTACTTCTGGACCAAACTCTTTACTTGAGTCAATTAAAGTCTGTGTGTTTTTCTTTATGGTATCTACATTATCACCCAGTAGATTCACATCATCAGCGTAGACCACTTATTCCTCATAACAGTAGCAATTTATGGAGCATTTTCTTTCATGGAGTTTTAACTTCCACTCCGTCCGTGCCTTGGTAACAGATATAAATAGTACTCACAAACAACAGAGGGAATCATAAATTCTCAGGCAGGAAAGCTAAGAATTAATGTTTGAGTCTTTTTAGAAAATTAGCAGTTTCATCCAAGACCCACAACTGCACTTTAATATCTTCGGGTGCTCTTACATACAAAGAAATTATCTATAAATACAAATAAATTATGGCAAAGGCGTATGGTTCCTACCGTCATTAAATGCTGCCAATTAAGCGTAAAGACACGAAGTTTAAGTAACAGGTTTGGCAGCTTTTGCACGCCCAGTACTTTATTTTATCGAAAACCTTTAAAGATCAGAACGTTTTCATGTCGATATATTGAACAGACGAGAATGAATCAAAATATTCAACGCTGCTAACAGAAAGAAAGAAAGCAAATATATTTCTTCAATTTTATAGATGATCAGTAAGCTACTGAAATTGAATGTATGTTGTTATAAGTTCACACGGTCTACTTTACCACTCGTCCACTTGTTTCCGTCTTCAATGCAACATAAACCTTTATTTTGAAAGTCATTACAATCACATTTAAATTTCCTAGAATGTCAATAAAATCACATTTTGTTTTACTGTTGCGACATGTTTCGGTCCCATAAGGCCATCGTTCAGGCAACGGTTAATCGACTGAAACCGCTGCATTGCATCACCTCGTATGTCAGTATATTACATGCTACTACTGCACGTTGTTATTTAGAATGTACGAGTATTCACACACTTCACTCACGCTACTTTCATATCGCGGCGTCCACGTTGTGTTCTCCTTCTGCGTAGCTCTGCCTATTCGGGCGTGTATCCCTTGTGTTGATCAATGGGATCAATAGCAGTTTAGTGAGCGCTACGATCAGGCTGTGGAGAGCATGGCATGAGGTTCGATTTCAGGCAGGAACAACAGCCTTTTCTGCATATCGTCCAGAACGAGTTTGGGGTCCACCGAGCCTCCTATCAATGAGTAATATAGACTCTTTCCCCTGCGGCAAAGCGGCTGAGTATGAAACTAAAAGGGCCCGCGCCATAGCTCAAGCGGTTAGTCGCTGGCTTCCCACCGCGGCGGCCCGGGTTCGATCCCGGGTCTGGTCAAGTGGGATTTGTGGTGGACAAAGTGGCACTGGGGTAGGTTTTCTCCAAGTACTTCGGTTTCCCCTGCCAATCTTCATTCCACCAATTGCTCCACAATCACCCTCACCTATCATCTGGGGCTGGTACAATAGGCCACAAGTGGCCGCAGTACAAGGAACTTAGTCCCACCCCACTAGATATAAAAAAATGAAACTAAAACCTTCATGAAGCTCTGCGTAAAGATTTGGTTCCACTTCCCCATACGCCATAGGAGCATGCTGCATAGTAAGCAAAAAATATAATCTAATTTTTGAAGATCGGTACTCAGGATAGGATAAAAGCAAAGAGGCAAAATTACGCATGTCTGAAGTTTGTAGGAGGTTGCTAAGGACGGAGGAAGCGGAAGAAATGGAGGTACTGAGCTAAGCATTCGCTCCTAAACATACAAGAGAAGCTGTAAGATTGAGGACAGGGCCGTGAAGCAGCAGTAACCCCGTTCAGTAAGAATAGCTGTTATAAAATACGGCGGAAAGTTACATCTAAATATATATATTTCTAACAGTCAGTGACATGATATACGTAAGGCCTATACAGCGTCATCTAGTGATTCATATTTCTTTTCGTAACCAGATTTCCTGGGGCACAGATGCTGAGTCTGCAGGTTGGACTTCCGGCAGGGCTAGCATTGAGTGTCGATGGCTCCGTGCCCACGGACAAGGTGTGCGGAATCATTGCAGAGATTTACTTTCGAGAGTTATTTCATGTGACAACTTCCGATTCAGAATCAATTCTGGAAAATGAATCCTTGAGCCAATGAATTAGGCCTCGATCTTTCACGTGTGCTCCCCTTTTCGATATATCATATAAATGGCGGCCTTATTTCAAATTTCTGGAATTTTGTTCCGGTGCAAGCTTTGATTTAAGATTCATAAAATAATCATGAAGATGAGTTAACAACGAAAATAACCTTGCCACTTTCACGCGTTCAATAAATTTATCTAGTGACATCAATTAGCATGAAATTCATGTACATATGAAACTTTATTACTGCAAATTTTGCGAAAAGTGAAAAATAACACTGTAACCACGTGAAATATATGGTAACTTCTTGTATGATGTCTACAAGCACGAAACCAAGTATTGCAGGATAATTTATACGTTGCATGCGAAATATATCTTTGTCAGTCTTTAGACGTGAGCACGTTGGAGTCGCGGGCTTCAGCTCGTGGTAAGCAGGCTTGTCCGACATGCTCTGTGGCTCTGTGGTTTGTGATGGTAAGAACCTCCCAGTGGACCGTGCTCCCGTCCGTGGATTAGCGTGTCGCGTGTGCAAAAGGTTCAATGCTTCGGAATTAATTCTAAGTTGTGAATGGAAAAGGAGGAGACAAGAAGACGTCGAAAACGAGGGAGGAGGAAGAGGATAAACGGAAAAGTATAGGGATAAAGAATTTGTTTCTGGTTTATTTACACACAGTGTGAGCATCGAGCCGGTCACGGTAGCCGAGCGGTCTAAGGCATGAACTACCTACGCTCGCTCGGAAGCCGGGATCGTGGGTTCGAATTCGACTCAAGGCATGGATGTTTAGTATGTGTATTTGTTTATTCTGTGATTGTGTTATCCTGTGTTTAGGTAGAGGCCTTGCGACGGGCTGCTCACTCGTCCAAGGAGTCCTACCGTCTGTAAAACGATCAAAACGAAAAAACAACCTCGACACCGTAAGGTATAAGAAGAACGGATTAAGTAAGTAAGTATTGCATCGTCTATGTGTATGATGCAGAGAATAAAAAGCGGAGCTTTAAAAGAAGTAGAGGAAGGGAGAGGGAGAAAAAGGGGGAAAAAAAGAGGAGAATACAAACAGACGATGAACAGATAGGGAATGAGAATAGAAGATTTCCAAAAGTATCGCTTTGGTACCCCAAGTTCCACTGAGACTCTACCTGCCAAGGAAAGGAAGCCTGCCTTCAGTAGGTCGAGCCTCGGTCGCAGAAATAACAACGCCAGTCTCTTGCCTTCGGGCTCTCCAACTGCGTGCGAGTCGAATAGAAATGCTTAATGATACAGTGCCCATTGCGATATACATAATTACATCAGACTGATTAATTAATAACAACTTGAACATAAAGCTAAATTCCGCTTTGCACCATGGTGGTCCGAGATCTCATGCTCTTATTGCAGGAATGGGATATTTTAACGCTGCAAAAGAAGCCTTCTGAAAGGGTTTTCTAATTGGAATTTACGGTAAATTTATTCTCCGAAGCGGTTTCCACTCACGCTTATGTGACATTTTCTTTTAAAGAACTTAAGAGCATGAAGTAAAATAAAAGTTATAATTTGGAAAGTCATAATTTTTTCCCCCTTGGCACTACAGCCCCAGTGGGCCTAGGCCTACCTCCATGAACTTCTCCGTTCACTTCGGTTTTTCTAGATCTTACACATTCGGTAGGACTCCTTGGGAGGGTGATCAGCTCGTCGCAAGGCCTCTTACCTGTACACCAACACAGAGAAACGCACACAAACATCCATGCCCTGAGTGGGATTCCAACCCAAGATCCCTGCTTCCGAGCGAGCGAAGACAGTGCA